TGAGCCTTGGTCCTTTCTTTCCAAAAATTTAATTACCCCACAAGGTAAAACATCAACGGTCCTGAAAAGGTTACCCAACCGGGGAATGAAAAGTTTTCAGAAAAAAAAAAAAACCCCCCCAGGGGCCCCCCAAGGGACCCCCAAAGTTCAACCCTGAGCTATACATCTTTGCCTCCATTGATGTATCATTGGTATATGATGCCAGAGAAACTATCTAGAATGTATAAAGGCACTTCAAATGTATGTTAGAAATGTGAACAACATGAAGAGACATTTTATCATGTTTGGTGGAATGTAAAAAAGCTAAAAAAATTGGATTCAAATACATACTTTGAAATATGGTCATTTCAGTGATTTGAAATTAAATACTTCATATGCACTCCTTACTCTTCAGCAGGTCACTGAGAAATATATAAACATGAGAAAATGTCTTGTATATTTGCTGATTTAGACAGAGCATATGATAAAGAGAATAGGCTTGACTAATGGGATGTTTGGCACAAATACAGAGTTGAAAGTTAGTTGCTCAATGTGATAAGAGTAGTATATGGTGAAAGTAATGCAGGTGTGAAAATAAGTGGAATGCTTAGTGAATGGTTCAGTACTGAACAGGAAATAAGGCAGGTGTTTGTGTGAAGTCCTCTAGTTTTTTAAATGTATTTATGGATGTGCATGAAGAACTATTGTGGTGGCATTAGAGGCATATTGGTTGGGGACATGAATGTACATGTACTTTTGTAAACAAATGATGCCATTTTGTTGTTTGAGACCCCGAATGATTTGGAGTAAATGTTAGATAGCTTGCATGATGCAATGACAATTATGAACCTGAAAATGCACCTAGCAGCAAGCAGGGTAGTTATGTTTGACAGAGAAAATGGGATGAACAAATGGTAGTAATATATAAACAGCAAAACAGTAGAGCAAACAGATTAACCTGTACACCTTGGTCGCATATTGAGATAGGGGAATGGAGACATTTTAAGACATACAAATGCTGGTGCAAAGGCAGCAAAATATAATCTATGGAAAGGAAGGAGTAACTGTCAAAAGAAGCCAGAAGGCCCGGGTGGGTGAAGGTGCTTCTTTGTTCCACGGAACTGAGAGATGGGGGCATCAGGAAAAAAGGAAAAGGAAGTTCAATGCGGGGAGCGGGGTGTGTGTGTGCAAAACAAGCAAGAAATGGGTAAAAAAAGCACAGGTCCTGACTGAATGTGGACTGAATACAAACATAAGGAACCAGTACAAAAGACGCCTGTTGGGGCGATTTGGTCATAAGGAGAAAAGGAATGAGGGTCGGGTTACAAAGCAGATCAGGGAAGCAATGCCTGCCTGGCTGGAGTTAATGTACTGCTCAAAAAGAGAAAAGTGAGAATTGTAAAGAACAGGAGGCGTTATATGAAGGCGACCCTGAAAAGAACTCAACGGCTTATTTTGTACATCATTCATCGCAGGCAGAGTCTGCTAAATAGGTGTTTACATCCGCTAAAGCTGCGTCCCGGTGTGTTTAAACAGGGAGACCTCTGTTTTCATGCAGCGGCAGAGGTCGCTGTGATTCCAGGCAGCCTCCGCGGGCCGCTTGTTGGCTTCCTCTCGGTGGCAACAGCCTTTCCTCCGGAGCTGCTGGCGAGGCGAGGCGAGGCGAGGCGAGGCGTGGCGTGGCGAGGCTTCCGCCCGGGCTCACCACGCGCTGCTTTTAAGGAGGAGCCGAGCGCGAGTTCCGGGGGCGCTTTCTCGCCGCTGCTTTGCCCGCATGTCTTTACCCAGCTCGGCGGTGAAGTTCCGCAGGATCCTGGCTCACTTCCCTCAAGACCTCAGCTTAGCCTTCGCTTATGGGTCCGGGGTCTTCCAGCAAGCGGGGTCTTCCGCCGCCGCAACGGAGGTAAGCGGGGCCGGGGGAGGGGGTGGCGGCGCTGCAGCCCTTGCGCGCATCCACCCGCGATTTCGTGGGCCGGGTCTGAGCAGAAGTCAGTCCTCTTACGGGCGTCACGAGCAGACAGCTGCTTTCTGCCTTCTTATTCTGGAAACATAGTAAGGCGGTTCCCGGTCTCATGCTTGGCACTGTCCATGCCAACTAATCTAGTACTGCAAGTAACAAACATCACCGGTGCAACCGACTGCACGGGCTATCCCGGAGTAGGTCCTGCTCTTTTCTATACTTCACTTTGGAGTAAGTTTGAATCCGGTAAACTCGGTTAAAGTAATCCCGGGAGCTGGCAGGAAACCTTTTCGTCCCCGGCATAAATTACATTCGTTTAGTGTCATTTCTGAGTAAGAAATTACACTTCTTGGCAGGTGGTTCTTAATGTGATTTAACTCACTGATTTAATTTACTCAGTTGCCCGCAGTGACCTGTGATATGGCTCCATGAAATTGGGGGCATTCTTTTAAGCAACTCTTGATTTTTTGAAAAATGGGACTTGGTTATTTATTAGTTTTAAAATGTGTGTGCTGCCTTTTAAAATTGTGGAGTCTGAGTACATGTTTGAGAATTGAAGCCATTAAAGTTTCAGGATCAAAAGCAAAAAACCACTTGTATGTCCTCTGGGCATTGCCTGCCATCTTTAACGTGCAGTTTTCAGATCATGTTTTGCCTCTTCTGGTGCAAGTCTTGTTGTGGACACAGTCTGTGACACTTCATGGACATTGGTTGTGATGGTGCAGTTGGAGCTGGGACCTACCCTTCCCTCTGGTAGCCATTTTGGCTTGAGCTGTGGGAAAGATGGGGCACCTAGCTTCCACTGAGGTATTTGCCCAGATAATATCTATTTGTATTACACAGGCTCTTTATGTACACTGAAAAGAGGAGTAGATCTGTTTCTTAAACATGGATTTAACATACTTGAAAGAGTGCTAGTGCTCCTGGGAGATGGCTACTCCTGTGTTACACGGGAGGTTGACTTAAATTGGGAAAGAGGGCTGGTTCTGCCAACCGAGTTCTGTCACCAGTGAGCATATTACAGATTTTCCAACATGGTGCTTCATGTGCCATTGTTTTTATTTTTACTGCTTTTGTCTACTCAATTTTGCCCAGTCACAATCGGCTTCCTGTGTTGCCCGCCTGGACTGCTTGCCCACCACATTTGTCAGTTTCTCCCTCATGTTTTATCCTGTGCGCCCGTTCTGTGCTGCTAGCCCCATTGCAGCTGAAGATGGCAACTGTTCAGGATTTTTTAGATATATGGAAAGAGTTACATGTATGACATATATCTAGGGAACTTTTTGCTCTCAGGTCATTTTGGTTCCTCGGGCAACTCTTTTAGCTTCCTAATGCTAGCAGATATATTGTGGATTTTGCCAGCTAGAGGGATCAGTGTATCCTGTTCTCTTTTTCCTTTGCAGAACAATATGCTGGATTTTGTATTTGCAGTTGATGATTCTGCAATGTGGCATACAATGAACCTGTCAAAAAATCAGAGTCATTATTCCTTCCTAAAATATTTTGGACCCAAGTCAATATGCAACATCCAAAACTATGGAGCGGGGATTTACTACAATACGCTAGTGCCTTGTAATGGTAGGGTAAGTAATGTTTACCCTTAAGAAAAATGCAAAACTATTTCTAGTTTGTCTGATTTTTATCTACTTTCTATAGGGTTGTAATGCTATTACATTTACATTACAATGAAAATTAAATTTATTGTACTTTAAAATTGATCAGATTTTAGAGTTATTCTGTTTGTTCTGGTATTTTATTAGTGAAAATCTTTAATACAATTAAACTTGTAATGAATACATTCTTTTTTAGCTTGCTAAAGCTTTCAAAACCGAATCACAGGACCATAGGAACCTTCTTAGGAAGTCTTCCAGAACCATTTGGCAGTGGGTGACATATGCATTTGTAAAATACATAAATAAACTTTAACAAAAGCAGATGGAACATTATTTTTAACCCCCTTTGTACCTCATTTTGCCCAGTGGTGTTTGATCTTGAAATGGACACTATCTTGGTGATTTTTTTTTTTTTGGTACCATAACTATAAATAATTCTAAAGCAGAGCATCCAGGTTGAAAGGGAAATCCAAGATAAGGTCCATTTTAGTAAAGGATATATTAAACAATTAATGAAGCAGTCCCAAAAGTATTAAATTGTGTCACACATTCTCTCACTATATAAAGTTTCTTCCTCAGCATAACTTGCAAACCTGGCTGTGAAGACTGCCCATTCATCCTTTTAACCCAGTACTGTCAGCTTTGATGACTCCCTAAGCTTGCAAGGGCAAAACATTTTCCAGTCCTACCTAGAGATGCAGAAATTGCAGCATCAAGGGCTTCTGTATTCAAAATACATACTCTACCCCATCATCTTTCCTACCTCTACTGACATTCAGGTTCTCAGCTGGTTTAGAATAATGTCAGGTTTTTGTTTTGTTTTTTAAACCAAATCTTATGTCTGAAAAAGGAATCTGCCTGTCTTAGCAGGAATCCCAAATGTAAATTATGTTGATTGTTGCTTTTTACTGCCCAGCTACTTTAGTGGTAATTTCTGTTTGCCTATGTTTAATAAGTTACACAACATTATAAGATAGTATAAATAAGACCCAATCTAGATCACTGGCACAAGATTTTCAAACTTCAGGAATTCATAGTAGCTATGCTAGCTGAGTCTCAGAGCAGGTTGAGTTAAATTGGATCTTTCAGCTTATGCAGACTAAATTCCTAGCTACCTTTGAGCTTTCAAAACACAGTGTATGAGACCTAGTGAGAACAAAATGTTAGTTTTAATCCAACCAATTGCTAATCTACTACAGTTGGGACAGACTGGGTCATATAAAGAGAGTCATCCTTGCTGATGATACTAGAAAATTATTTCTTGTCCCTTTCTCCTTTTAGAAGATTTGGGAACTCACCTCAATTTTAGCCCCATTGCTAATATTACATATTAAAATCTTTTAAAAATTCTTTGTCAAGTTTTCAAATTTCTTGATTGGTTCTAGGAATCTTTCAAGTGAAGGAAAATCTAACATCAAGAGATCCTTGGAAGGGAAGAGAAAAGAATCTAAGTTCAGGAATATGTAGGAGGATAAGAAGAAATTGCCAGCTTGGTCAAAAGTTCCTGGGGACAAGAGATTCCCACTCTGTGCTGTATGTGCCTTTTCAGGAAAATGACCTGCAAAGTTAGATGAAAATCTTATTTTCTCATTTTTTGAGAGCCATTCCCCTTAAAAAGGTCAGAATAATAAGACTTTTGGCAGGTTCAGCTTCTAATGTTTCCTTTAGGTAGAGCTAAACTTCTCTCAAAATTACATTTGTCTGATTTAGTTTCCTTTTCTGCATGTTTCAGGTTATAAAATATGGTGTCATAAGTACTGATGCTTTAATTGAAGATTTGTTTCGCTGGAAGACACTCTACGTAGCTGGACGTCTGCAAAAGCCGGTACTACTTATGTTTATTTGTTTAAAAATACAAATGAAAAAAATTGGTAGATAGCCCTGACTGTAGAGAGTAAGATCAGTAATATGGTGAAAGTAGATGGTGCCTATAAGTCATAATGGTATTGTCTAGATTATTCCCATTTTAAAGAGTCTGATGTTTAGTTGCTGCTACGTTTGATCTAAGGGCCGAGCTACACCTTAAATGATTTGCTTTTACAGGTAATCCCCAGGTTACAAGCTCCAGATTATGAACAACCCATAGTTACAAATGGGGTGCCAACAGTACTTAAAATGGAGGATGGTTGCCTAGCAGCGAGATCCAACTCAAAATAGCGGACGGTGCTCTCCACCCCATGATCTTCTGAACCACGCAGTGCCTCCATGAGCATCACAAAATAGTGCGCACATTTTAAAAAGATTGTTAAAAAGTACAGCCTGTTTTCAGTGATTTTCAGCACTTCCTGAAAGCATTGCGCAACTTCAGCAGTTCCTTGCCCCAAGAAACAAGAACGCCACCCAGCATTTTTATTGTTATTGTTATTATGGTTGGTTGCACGGTCAGCCAGATGTTTAGACTGGGTTTGGCATTTTTATCCACCTATCGAGACCTTCCCAAGGACCTGGGATAGGCAGATGTTGTTTGATCGTGTTAAAGGTATTGTCACAGAATGTGAGCTGTTCCAAGTAAAGCTGCCTTTTGCAATTGACCGATGGTGATTTTGTCAGTGCCGATGGTCTTCAAAGTGGTGCTCCAGATGTTTTGGGATTGCACCTCAGGCACCTATAACTATTGGTACTGCCTTTGCTTTCTTTTGCCATAGTCATTCTATTTCTATTTGCAGGTCTTTGTATTTTGTGATTTTCTCCAGTTTTTTCTCTTCTATTCTGCTTTCCCCAGGTATTGCGATGGTGATTTTGTCAGTGCCGATGGTCTTCAAATGGTGCTCCAGATGTTTTGGGATTGCACCTCAGGCACCTATAACTATTGGTACTGCCTTTGCTTTCTTTTGCCATAGTCATTCTATTTCTATTTGCAGGTCTTTGTATTTTGTGATTTTCTCCAGTTTTTTCTCTTCTATTCTGCTTTCCCCAGGTATTGCAGTGTCCACTATCCAGACTTTTTCTTATCAACAATTGTTAAGTCTGGGGTGTTGTGTGGCAGGTACTTGTCTGTTTGAATCCTTCTCCTCCTCCTCGTTATTATGTTTAAGACATTGTGTATTTGGAGGTGTTTCTTAAGTTTCTGAAGTGTTTTATATGCATACAAAGATAAAATAAATACTACATACTAAGACATTTGACTAAATAACCTGTTTTGGCTTACATACAAATTTGACTTAAGGGCAGATCTTGGGAACGGAACTTGTTTTTAACCCTGGGACTGCCTGTATTTAAAATGTGATTAACTTGTGCCTCTGTTGTTTTATATAGTCTCTCTTGCCCCTCCACTCCCCAGTCTCCAATACTGCTTGTGAAATCACTGTTTTCATTAAACATTCCTTTAAGGAGTCTGAAAATGTTGCAGGCTTGCTTCCAGATCAAGATGGGGGGCTATAGTGGCACAGCTTCAAAATGAGAGTGATCAGTTCATGCCCGTGGTTTTTATTCCCTAGGTTCTTTGATATGCAACAAATTACCCCGTGTGCGGGGGGGGGGGGGGGGG